TCCCTACAGACACTGTAATACTGCCTCCCTACAGACACAGACGCTGTAATACTGCCTCCCTACAGACACAGACGCTGTAATACTGCCTCCCTACAGACGCTGTAATACTGCCGCCCTACAGACACAGACACTGTAATACTGCCTCCCTACAGACACAGTAATACTGCCTCCCTACAGACACAGACGCTGTAATACTGCCTCCGTACAGACACAGACACTGTAATACTGCCTCCCTACAGACACAGACGCTGTAATACTGCCTCCCTACAGACGCTGTAATACTGCCTCCCTACAGACACAGACGCTGTAATACTGCCTCCCTACAGACACAGACGCTGTAATACTGCCTCCCTACAGACACTGTAATACTGCCTCCCTACAGACACAGACGCTGTAATACTGCCTCCCTACAGACGCTGTAATACTGCCTCCCTACAGACGCTGTAATACTGCCTCCCTACAGACACAGACGCTGTAATACTGCCTCCCTACAGACGCTGTAATACTGCCTCCCTACAGACACAGACGCTGTAATACTGCCTCCCTACAGACGCTGTAATACTGCCTCCCTACAGACACAGACGCTGTAATACTGCCTCCCTACAGACACAGACACTGTAATACTGCCTCCCTACAGACGCTGTAATACTGCCTCCCTACAGACACAGACGCTGTAATACTGCCTCCCTACAGACGCTGTAATACTGCCTCCCTACAGACACAGACGCTGTAATACTGCCTCCCTACAGACACTGTAATACTGCCTCCCTACAGACACAGACGCTGTAATACTGCCTCCCTACAGACACAGACGCTGTAATACTGCCTCCCTACAGACACAGACGCTGTAATACTGCCTCCCTACAGACGCTGTAATACTGCCTCCCTACAGACACTGTAATACTGCCTCCCTACAGACGCTGTAATACTGCCTCCCTACAGACACAGACGCTGTAATACTGCCTCCCTACAGACACAGACGCTGTAATACTGCCTCCCTACAGACACTGTAATACTGCCTCCCTACAGACGCTGTAATACTGCCTCCCTACAGACACAGACGCTGTAATACTGCCTCCCTACAGACACAGAAGCTGTAATACTGCCTCCCTACATACGCTGTAATACTGCCTCCCTACAGACACAGTAATACTGCCTCCCTACAGACACAGACGCTGTAATACTGCCTCCCTACAGACGCTGTAATACTGCCTCCCTACAGACACAGACGCTGTAATACTGCCTCCCTACAGACACAGTAATACTGCCTCCCTACAGACGCTGTAATACTGCCTCCTACAGACGCTGTAATACTGCCTCCCTACAGACACAGACGCTGTAATACTGCCTCCCTACAGACGCTGTAATACTGCCTCCCTACAGACACAGACACTGTAATACTGCCTCCCTACAGACACAGACGCTGTAATACTGCCTCCCTACAGACACTGTAATACTGCCTCCCTACAGACACAGACGCTGTAATACTGCCTCCCTACAGACACAGACGCTGTAATACTGCCTCCCTACAGACACAGACACTGTAATACTGCCTCCCTACAGACGCTGTAATACTGCCTCCCTACAGACACAGACGCTGTAATACTGCCTCCCTACAGACACTGTAATACTGCCTCCCTACAGACACAGACGCTGTAATACTGCCTCCCTACGGACGCTGTAATACTGCCTCCCTACAGACGCTGTAATACTGCCGCCCTACAGACACAGACACTGTAATACTGCCTCCCTACAGACACTGTAATACTGCCTCCCTACAGACACAGACGCTGTAATACTGCCTCCCTACAGACACAGACGCTGTAATACTGCCTCCCTACAGACACTGTAATACTGCCTCCCTACAGACACAGACGCTGTAATACTGCCTCCCTACAGACGCTGTAATACTGCCTCCCTACAGACGCTGTAATACTGCCGCCCTACAGACACAGACACTGTAATACTGCCTCCCTACAGACACAGTAATACTGCCTCCCTACAGACACAGACGCTGTAATACTGCCTCCCTACAGACACAGACACTGTAATACTGCCTCCCTACAGACACAGACGCTGTAATACTGCCTCCCTACAGACGCTGTAATACTGCCTCCCTACAGACACAGACGCTGTAATACTGCCTCCCTACAGACACAGACGCTGTAATACTGCCTCCCTACAGACACTGTAATACTGCCTCCCTACAGACACAGACGCTGTAATACTGCCTCCCCTACAGACGCTGTAATACTGCCTCCCTACAGACGCTGTAATACTGCCTCCCTACAGACACAGACGCTGTAATACTGCCTCCCTACAGACACAGACGCTGTAATACTGCCTCCCTACAGACGCTGTAATACTGCCTCCCTACAGACACAGACGCTGTAATACTGCCTCCCTACAGACGCTGTAATACTGCCTCCCTACAGACGCTGTAATACTGCCTCCCTACAGACACAGACGCTGTAATACTGCCTCCCTACAGACACAGACG